ATTTAACCATATACATAATCATGTTTCTTATAAATTTGTTCAAATCATGTGTATGTTTAGGCTAGTCCAAAAATCCAAATTTAAATTTAGGGTTGTTATGATAAAAACTTCTAATAGTTGAGTTACATGGTCTTGTGTGGTCTGTGAGATTTCATAAGATTCCATTCCAACCAACTCTGTCATACAATAATGTTACACATCATGATATGTTACACAAAGTAATCCTGTACTTTATGTGCATTCGACGTGTGTTGGAAAATTCAAAAGAAAATAATTTCAAGCAATATTTTCTTGGAATGAAATAATTGYTATAGCGTTGAAGTAACCTTTAAAATATGAGAAATGCTGGTCAAGTGTTGACCATGCATGCATGGGTCRCCAGTCAGGCTCCTGCTTAGCTCAGTGTTGGCCTGTTGTGCCAGAGGTTGTGGTTCAAGCCTCRGCTGGACCAACACTYGTGGTCTTAAAATAACTGAGGAGAAGGTGGAGGCTCGGATGACCACATTAATGATGGTCCTGTCTCCAATTAACTAGAGACATTAAAAGAGGACCACAAGTTTATCAGTTGAATTACTAGGCAAGTGTCATCCTCTATAACAAAGTTTATTCATTTATTTATTTGGGCAATTGTCATTTGAGAGAGGTCGGCTGGTCACAAAGTACACAACTTACCTGTCCAATGGCTGCATCTCTTTTCTTAAAACCAGATTTGATAAGAATGGCAAAATCACCAATCTAAAAAAATCAATCATATGGATACTTAATAAATATTACATATCTAAGTCTGATGATCATCCACAAAGAAGGATTAAAGCATCCTTCATGTAATTAAGTATTGTTAAATACTATAAACATTTACTTACTTCATGTGGAACTTCATGAAGCAATATTGCACATGTAGTACACAATCCAACCTTGAAACACCAGAAATCAATATAAGTATTCATAAAAGTACAGGCTGACACAGAACATTCAAGTGTTATTACTGTATTGCCTGTGGCAACTTTATCTCATCCTCGACAAATCTGAAAATTTGCACAATATTATCCAGGGGCCACAATGCTAGTACCCAAGAGACCTTTGTGGCCATATGCCACTACAGTATTCTCTTATAGTTGGATAAAATTAATTATGCATGTGACAGCTGTCAATCAATATGAAAGTGATTGATTTGAGGGTGGGCTATACATCATGACTGTGTTACAAATACAAAAATGTCAAACAAGATTGATACTGAGAATATTTAATTTTCTTCAAAGTTGAATTTCAAGCATTTGTTTGTCCACAAAAAAAGGCAATGTCTACAAATTGTAAGATTGCTATTAATTTTTAGTCATACTCACTTTTTTACTGACAACAAAGCTCCCTGCCACGGCAAGACCATGCGTAAAATTGTCAATAATGTTAGCAAAAAGATTAAGGTATCCAATGACCTACAAACAGTAAAAAAATGTTATAGCATAGACCTTTCTCATAAATGGCCGCCAAACTCGGTTGGGACTAGGGACAATTGAATGGAAGTGAGGTAAGTAAGGCCTCATTAGTAAACAAAGTCTACTCAGTATGATATTTTGTGTCAAAGTCATTCATCTCACCAATTTGAGTTCTTTTAAGCGTCTTTTGAAGTGAGGGTGAATGACTTTGTTTACTAATAAGGCCTTTCTGACCTCGCTTCCATGCAACTGTCCCTAGTGCCGACCGCATTTGGTGGCTATTTATGAGAAAGGTGTATGGTGTAGAAATTACRTAAGGGGAAATATTATTAGCAAAAGTTGATAATATTTAATATTCAGGTATATTTATCCATTATTTAAGGCTTTCTTGTTACCATAGTAACACATAAGTTGACCTTATATCTCATTCATTTTGAAATTGATTTTTCTGTTGCCATGGTAACAACACTACATTAGCCATTTTTTATATTACCTTATGTTCTGGCTCATGAGTTTCATCTTGTTGTTTGCCAGATTGTTTCTGACAAGCACCTGTTTTCTCTTTACTTTTATTTTCTCTCTGTCTTATACAATTATTTGTAGGYATCTGCCCATTCTTCTCTTCTAATTTATGATTACTGCTACTTTGAATATCTTTCTCTGTTTTGTGGGAAATTCCATTTTGGATTGCGTTAGGCTGAAAAAAAAGAATGTATCATACATTAAAAAATATAATGTAATTCAAAAAAAAAAACAATCGAATTTTATCAATACCCTGAAACAGCCTCTGGGCTGATCAAAGGCGAGGCACTGCATGCTAAAAGAAAACTGAAGAATCCAGAGAAAAATCCTTGAATCAAGTGAGAGACCTAAAAAACTCTACTACTGTACTCTACGCTACACCACCCTTAATTCCCTTAAATTCGTGAGTATTAAATAGGAGAGCTTATAATAATTATTATTTATAAAAATAATTTATCTTGAGGCAGGTTTGGCAATAGTGGCATCATTTCATTTTTTTWAAAATTATTTTCAAAAAGATTAACACTTCCCATTATGAAATATTTGTTCTGCTGATTGATACCAAACAATGCTTTAGGAATCTTTTAATATCTTTCTTATACAAATACCACCCTCTCATGCAAGAAAGGTAAGACAATAGTTTTTAATTAAAGTTTGAAGTTGGCATCTGACAGGGTTCGCATTGACAGGAAACACTTTCAATTACACAGTGACCTTTTAATACCAGCTGATTGCAAGGGCAGATCTCAGCACAAAATTCTGTATTACTGTTTAAAAAAGGCAATGATCTTATTTCACACCCCTTCGTTACCACCATAGTCATTTCATAAAATTGTAATTTAAATGCTTAGAAATTCAATGTTACAATTTATTACCTTGTCCACTTTTTCTTTAATTTTACATTTTTCATCTGTTTCCTTATTGTCGTCAAACATCTTTTCTAATATAAAGAATAAGAGAATTCCTGCCAGCACCCAGAGGCCTACGTTAAAGTTTACTGCATGTGGGTCATCTGAAATCAAAGTTAAGATCATGGTATTTTGACACTTGACAATGAAGATTAGATAGAAACATTAAGAAAATCCATCTACTTTATCAATAAGTAACACATTAAATCCTGTAAGCAGATTATGGAAATTTTTAGTTTGAGAAAAGCAGATGGTTCGATTTCCCCTTCTGAATAAACTTGCAAATTGAGATGCTTTGTCTATACCTTTAAGTATGAGTTTCATCTGGGATACCAGTTGTCCTCCCTCAATAAAAATTGACAAGCGAGTTGAAAGTTGTACAGACCCAGAGAAAATAATGCATGCCAGTGGGCAAAATTGAAACCTGAGTATTGATGCCAAATTTGTCCACCCACTATATATCCAAAACAAATTTCATTTATTTTTTTATCTTATTCCTTTCCTATAAGATTAGTTTTGATATCTTAATACTATTTTTCAAAAAAACATTTTTCRAGATTCTAAACCCTGAAGTGGTAACTAAGCAGAAATATTTCTCGGAAAACACAATGATACATATAAATATTATAATTAATAATTACATAACAATACCTCCTTTTGACCATGCCTCAGGTAGCAAATGCAGGAAAACATCGCCTAGGAGACCACCAACTGCRAAGCTCAATAACAATTTTAGATGGTCGGCAGTAACTAGAGAGGAGAAATAAGAACAAATTTCAATATGCAAGGAACATCTGAAAAGGTGTCAAACAAATCCATCYAGTTATAGATGCAAAACTTCAATTTGATGATATTAGTTTTCATGTTTTATTGTGGTTAAACAATGGAGGATCTAAATCACAATAGACTATATGATAAGATACTAGATATCATTGTGAAAAAAATATGTCTTTGTATCATTATCCTCCACATCTTGATTTAAACCCTGTTTGTCTTTTCCTTCAAAGTCATGAAGAAAATAAAACTAGGTACTACCATTAATCCATTTTTTCTCTCTCATTTTCTTTCTTTCATCCTCTTTTTAAGAACTGTTGGACATTTGTATATTGAGTGTATTCTTCTTAACACCAARTTTTTTTGCCTTTTCTTAAAGATGCCTTCCTAAATAATATGGCAAATGGCTCTTTAACAAGTTTGTTTATCTAAAAAAATTGTTTAAATTCAAGTAGCCATAATAACATGAACAAACTTGTTAAATTTCAACTATTCACAGCTTAAAGATTTTTTCATTGCTGCATTTCTCAAAACTGTGATCCAAAAAACTCCAAAGCTTTGAAAAGTAATACGTCTTTTAAAGACTTATTGACATGCAAAATCGAGCGAGTTCAAACACCCTTGGGAATTGGTGGGGAATAACTCATGTTTTCATAGTTAAAAGCTGTGTGCTAGCCATTTCGCTCAACGCTGTTAGAAAGAGGGCAATTTCCTAATAGGCTCATCCAAGTGCTTAAAAAATCTATTTATAAACAAACATTCGTAGGCCGGATACTCGATGCCAACAAAATGATTTAAAATATAGTCCAGTATTAAATATTTTGACTTCACGATCATCCTACAGAATTACGACATCTGAGAAGCGATTTTACTCGATTGATTTTTAAAACGATTGATCTCTTAAACAAATAAATTAGACTTGAAAATAAGCTTTTTGCTGACTTTTTTCTCGTTTTGTAGACAAAACCATAGTATTGATTTACAGCTGGATAAATTTGACCCTTTGGGTATCGACAGTCACCAAGCGTGAAAAGAAATAGCAAGGACAACGTAATATGAGATTTGAGACTATATAAATTATATAAAAAAAACTTATCAAAAAATATGCAAGAAAAATGCAAAGGTGCTTAGTTCGGACACTTGTCCTAAGGGACAAGTAACGTGAACTCACGAAAAAAGGTTTGGAAGTCTAACAGTAAACTTCGAAACTTGACAACGACTTCAAAGAACAAGAATGTGTCGAAATTCCTTGGTGTTTTCTTTTCTTTGGAAAGCTTACCTCCTTCTCTCAAAGCATGGCCTGATTCAACTGGTATAACTAGGAGAGGAAACACTCCACATAAACCCACAAGAATGGTACATGGAATGGAGTAAAGCCAAGCCTCTTTATTTTTTGTAAAGAGACTCGTGAAGTCAGGTAGGTAGCGACATAAGGGGAACCAGCCATTGTTCTCTAGATCTTGATCAGTSGACTTGGACTTGGGAATTCGTGGCGAAGCTCGATGGATTTTCACTAAATTCGTTTCTGTTGAGAGAACAAGGATCAAGAACAGCACAGAGAGAACTGTGCTCTTCTTTATGGTCATAGTGATTGAGTGTGATCTGTCATTGATTGTCGTGGTATTGATGRTCAACCCCACTATATATACCCTACATCCTGTTGGAACATGAAAATACATGCAAATCACTTTATATATGATAAAASAGACTTGAGCCCGTCACTGACCAGCGGTTATCACAATAACAACCAAACTAGCTACAAAAGTGGAATAAAAAGAATGGGATCTATCTATTCTTTCATTCTATAAATTAAARRKYCSKTTKAWYCYWRKTTTTYYT